TACAGGAGGGGATACTATAAGAGAGGGGCGTGGTAACGGTAGACCACCAACTGCTGGGGGGATACAGGAGGGGATACTATAAGAGAGGGACGTGGTAACGGTAGACTATCAACTGATGGGGGGGGGGTTACAGGAGGGGATACTATAAGAGAGGGGCGTAGTAACGGTAGACCACCAACTGCTGGGGGGATACAGGAGGGGGTACTATAAGAGAGGGACGTGGTAACAGTAGACCACCAACTGCTGGGGGGGTACAGGAGGGGTACTATAAGAGAGGGACGGGGTAACGGTAGACCACCAACTGCTGGGGGCGGGGGGGTTCAGGAGGGGATACTATAAGAGAGGGGCGTAGTCACGGTAGACCACCATCTGCTGGGGGGATACAGGAGGGGGTACTATAAGAGAGGGGCGTGGTAACGGTAGACCACCAACTGCTGGGGGCGGGGGTGGTCAGGAGGGGATACTATAAGAGAGGGGCGTGGTAACGGGAGACCACCAACTGCTGGGGGGGTACAGGAGGGGTACTATAAGAGAGGGACGTGGTAACGGTAGACTATCAACTGATGGGGGGGGGTTACAGGAGGGGATACTATAAGAGAGGGGCGTAGTACCGGTAGACCACCAACTGCTGGGGGGATACAGGGGGGGGTACTATAAGAGAGGGACGTGGTAACGGTAGACTATCAACTGATGGGGGGGGGGTTACAGGAGGGGATACTATAAGAGAGGGGCGTGGGAACGGTAGACCACCAACTGCTGGGGGGATACAGGAGGGGATACTATAAGAGAGGGGCGTAGTCACGGTAGACCACCATCTGCTGGGGGGATACAGGAGGGGGTACTATAAGAGAGGGACGTGGTAACGGTAGACCACCAACTGCTGGGGGCGGGGGTGTTCAGGAGGGGATACTATAAGAGAGGGACGTGGTAACGGTAGACCACCAACTGATGGGGGGGTACAGGAGGGGATACTAAAAGAGAGGGACGTGGTAACGGTAGACCACCAACTGCTGGGGGTGTGTGTGTTCAGGAGGGGATACTATAAGAGAGGGACGTGGTAACAGTAGACCACCAACTGCTGGGGGGGTACAGGAGGGGTACTATAAGAGAGGGACGTGGTAACGGTAGACCACCAACTGCTGCAGGTAAAGTGGATCAGCAAGCTCTCGCACACTAAAACCATTAATGCACGTGCTTTGTAGGTAAATCAGTAAACAGTAAAACACCACAGACATCCTACACGGGCGTACGTATAAAATTGACGCTGAATTTTAATATTCTTTGATGGCGTAATTCATAGGCACTATTTTGAGACGCACTCAATTAGCCAAAATAATCTACTGTTGTTCCTGAGGTAATTAACTTCACATATTTCACATAATGTTATAAATAGACTTGGAACATGTTTCTGTCTGTTTACTGGCGAAAGGATGATCAAAGCACTACACTTGTAAGACGTGAACGCATGGACGTTCTTGCATTTACCTGTTATCTTCACAATATACAGTGAGATGGAATATAACATTTTTTTAATTATCAGTAGCTTTAAACACAAAAACAAAAAATTGATACACAGACACACTTAACATCGTAATATATGTTCGTTGCATGCAGGCATACAACATTTGGCAATTTTCCAACCGATTTTATGCCAAATATTGTCGTTTTGTAATAAATCATTTAATCAACAAACAGTTTGCAGCTTCACGAGAACAGGACACGTGTTAGTCAGACATATAACGAAATAGGACTCCAAAACAAATTACACTAAGCAACATATAGTGTAGCTTCCAAAGTTTATTTCTAGTTTCGTTTTAGGTAGAGATATCATTGTGAAATATAACAGATGGACAGAGATACAATCAACAGATAAAACCTGGAGTCAGAAAACAAAAATGTATGAAATATCAATTTTTAAGGATAAAGATAAGAATTATGACTTTTACATTTTTGTGCTATGATAAGTCACATACGATATATATCAAACTCTACATTTAATGTCAGCTAGATAAGTTGGTCCAAAAACAAATTTATAAAAGATTGATGGGAATTATGGCGGGAAAACAAAATCATCCTTGTATTCAGTCATTCTGAAAGTAACACAAGAGCCCAGAGTTACAACCCTCTTAACTTTAAGAAAGTTCTAAATTCTCAAAATTATATTTCTCTTAAACACAATACTTTCTCAAACGTACTTGACTAGAAACAGTTAATAAATTGCAAATAATGTAACTACAAAATTATTTGAAATAAATTGAAAAGTTTACGGATATTTCAGGTAAAGAACGTTTTTAGAATTAATCTTTATTAATTAATCGGGACCAGCAGAAAACAGTAAGTTGTAGCGCCACGACACCAGAACGGAGGAGAGATCACCGAAACGGAGCACAGAGGAGAGATCACCAGTACGGAGGAGAGATCACCAATACGGAGGAGAGATCACCAGTACGGAGGAGAGGTCACCAATACGGAGGAGAGATCACCAGTAAGGAGGAGAGATCACCAGTACGGAGGAGAGATCGCCAATACGGAGGAGAGATCACCAGTACGGAGGAGAAATCACCAATACGGAGGAGAGATCACCAGTAAGGAGGAGAGATCACCAGTACGGAGGAGAGATCGCCAATACGGAGGAGAGATCACCAGTACGGAGCAGAGATCACCAATAAGGAGGAGAGATCACCAGTACGGAGGGGAGATCACCAATACGGAGGAGAGATCACCAATACGGAGGAGAGTTCACCAGTACGGAGGAAAGATCACCAGTACGGAGGAGAGATCACCAGTATGGAGGAGAGATCCCCAGTACGGAGGAGAGATCACCAATACGGAGAAGAGATCACCAGTACGGAGGAGAGATCACCAGTGCGGAGGAGAGATCACCAGTACGGAGCAGAGATCACCAGTACGGATGAGAGATCACCAGTACGGAGCACAGAGGAGAGATCACCAATACGGAGGAGAGATCTCCAGTACGGAGGAGAGATCCCCAGTACGGAGGAAAGATCACCAGTACGGCGGAGAGATCACCAGTACGGATGAGAGATCAGCAGTACGGAGCACAGAGGAGAGATCACCAATACGGAGGAGAGATCACAAGTACGGAGGAGAGATCACCAATACGGAGAAGAGATCACCAGTACGGAGGAGAGATCACCAGTACGGAGTAGAGATCACCAGTACGGAGGAGAGATCACCAATAAGGAGGAGAGATCACCAGGACGGAGGAGAGATCACCAGTACGGAGGAGAGGTCACCAGTACGGAGCAGAGATCACCAGTACGGAGGAGAGATCACCAGTGCGGAGGAAAGATCACCAGTACGGAGGAGAGATCACCAGTGCGGAGGAGAGATCACCAGTACGGAGCAGAGATCACCAGTACGGAGGAGAGATCACCAGTAAGGAGGAGAGATCACCAATACGGAGGAGAGATCTCCAGTACGGAGGAGAGATCACCAGTACGGAGGAGAGATCACCAGTACGGATGAGAGATCACCAGTACGGAGCACAGAGGAGAGATCACCAATACGGAGGAGAGATCACCAATACGGAGCACGGAAAGGGGAAGGGAAATAGCGTATCAAACCGGAGACGGACAAATTGTGTTTTCATATGGCAACTTCTATTATCTTATATAAAAAAAAACTGTTGTTACAAATAATACAGTAGCGCCAATGAGTATTTGATACTTGTACGAGCCTAACAACATTGTCGTTGATTAGTAACACAAGTCTGTAGATAAAGTACTTGATAGAGCCACAAGACATGTTTACTGATGAACGGTATCCATTATTGTACATTGTTTAACGCCAGACGTATTTATTCTGGATTCATTTCACAAACAGACGATGCAATCTTGGTTTTGGTTGGCACTAGTGATCAGAGGCTTTTACACGTTCATACATACTGTATGTATGCAAATCGTGTGTTCATATATCGGACTTTTCAGCGACCAGAATTACTCTGTATTGTTCATTAGTCAGTGTTCATACAAATGTAGGTGATAAACATTTTGTATGGACATAAGTAAGCCACTCACTCACTCTCTCTCCAACACTCACTCACTCACTCTCCCACACTCACTCACTCACTCACTCTCCCACACTCACTCACTCTCACTCACTCACTAAATCAACCAATGTGACCAGAGACACTTCGTATGTCATAAACTTCAGAGACCAGACCCACTTGTGTATGTTCATAACTCATACACTTCAGTGATTGTAATCCTCTCACTGTAACGTTTATTCGTGAGGATTGACGTACTATATATTACAACACCTGTGTGTGAAATTGTGCCATATTAGATCTTTACCGGACATCGAACCAGGCTAGTGCTGGCGGTTTACACATAGATCGACAGAGATACCGTCCCTATAGTAAGGCAGTGGTCAGACCTGTATGATGATACCGTCCCTATGATCCACTGTCTCCCTCTACCTTACTACCATTACACGTCTTTGTACAAGAAACCAACAACTAGTCTGTCTCCCGCAACAACACTACTTACACATTCATATCATGCCATAAACTTTGTCGACATCATTGAGACTTGGCTATCTAATCTTACTTAGTAACGAACAAACACAATATGGTAAAATAATACATAAATAGGTGGCCCAATCAGAGGTGTGTTTGATGACAAAGTCAATTAAGTGTGTATTTTACACACAGTATTATTTATATGTTAAGAGATGAAAAGTTTTTTTGTTTTTTTTTGTATTCATTATGAAGGATATTAAGACAGAATACGAACTGAATACCGATACAAAAACGCCGACGAGAACCGAGAATATTTCAATAAAGGAAGGACACCATGAACCTTTACAATGAATTACAGAATCGTGATCAGTTGTTCTATAAGGTCTTTGTTTCCTACACCAGCTGTGGCGCTATCTAATGATCTGCTGTAGAATCCTGCGAAGTATGAAGGTCACATATATTCTAAGCCAGTGAACAACTAACAGACTATAACATGTTATTGTTCAAATCAGGTTTTCGTGACGACAAAACAGTTCTTCCGCGAAAATTGAACACTCTCTGACACAATATCATTAGTAATTTCCTAATTGTTCAACGTAGAATGTCCTGTAGTTATTTGAAGCTCTTCAGAGAGAACGGAAAAATTGGGAAAGTAGTTTATTGGGCAACAATACCAATAACTCAGTGTAATATGAAGCTCTTCGGGTAGAATACCCTGGGTAAGTAGTTTATACGGCAACCGTTACACTGCCTCAGCGTAGATTGAAAAACACACTGGGTAAGTAGTTAGTTGGGCAACCGTAACTTTACCTCAGCGTAGATTGAAGCTCTTCGGGTAGAATACCCTGGGTAAGTAGTTTATTCGGCAACCGTTACACTACCTCAGCGTAGATTGAAGAATACTGTGGGTAAGTAGTTAGTTGGGCAAACATAACTTTACCTCAGCGTTATTGAAAGTTACTCGAGTAGAGTATCCAAGCAAAGTAGCTATTGGTCAACAAGACGTATCATCTAGAAAGGAATAGCAAGGTTCTTAGAGCAGGCTCTGAGGTAGCAAAGGCTGGCTAGTTTATATTGTGGAGATGACAAATCATAATTCTGTACTCTTATAAAGGAGATAATCTATTTGCGCTATCGGGAGGGGAGACATATTGAATAATTAACAGTACCGGACAGTTTAGTGACCCCTCAGCTCGAGCCGGAGATCCATCTACAGAGATCCATCTAGTCTACCCTAGGCCAGAGATCCATCTAGTCTACCCTAGGCCGGAGATCCATCTAGTCTACCCTAGGCCAGAGATCATCTAGTCTACCCTAGGACCCTACGTATCACCTCTAACCAGTGATCTCATCAACTCTGGCTAGGGAGTCATCCAACCCTAGCCCGGTCAATATTAATCCACCTTTAGTCATTAACCAAGTTTTCAAGTTTTATTTTTACACTCACGCCACACATATACGTGCGTAACAAGAGGTCACATAGTACATAGTATACATTGATGGACTTAGTACTCACATAATATGACACATGATACAATTCATACAATAACAACCCTTTTCAATAATTCTTTTAGCTAAATTATTTTAGATATTAAGTAGCTTCATTACTCTTTGTATAAATTTACTAACTTTTGTTAAGAGTACCGTGTTACAAATTGAGAACATTCCTTTCATTTTGATATCAGTTGGGTTGACATAATAATAATTTGGTATATAAAGTTGTCTAAGAGCTACAACAGATACATTAGTACATTGGTATAAGTAGTGGTAATCGTCCCCAACACAGTTATTACATAGGGGACATAACCTTTCCTCGCGTTGGACTCTATTCCATCTTCCTGTTTCTATAGGAAATTTTATATTTGATGTTGATGTTGATGTTCTAAATTTACATATTACTTTTCGTTCATTACGATTTAGCTTTAAAAGATATGGTTCAATATTAAACTGAAATTTGAATAAGGAGTAAACTTGCCCTCGCGAGGAGGTTTCAACATCATGAAACCAACTTTGAATGAATTGATCGCATAATCTCTGCTTAATGATATTTTTCAAGCATTGTCACCAAATCAACTGTAGCCTGGTTCCCAATCAACTGTAACCAGTTAGCCGTTTTTATGTGACCAAGTATCCAATTAATTAAGTACTTGTTTAATGGGTCCTTTACTACTGAAGTGATCCGTGTAAATCACATCTCACGATTTTTACCGTTTTGAAAACGATCAAACAAAACATTTCAATATAGAATACGGGGATCAAATCCTGGACTTATTCGCTACCAATAACTTTTCACTGTAGCCAGGGAACCATCAACTGTAGCCAGGGACCAATCAACTGTAGCCAGGGACCAATCAACTGTAGCCAGGGACCCATCAACTGTAGCCAGGGACCCACCAACTGTAGCCAGGGACCAATCAACTGTAGCCAGGGACCAATCAACTGTAGCCAGGGACCCATCAACTGTAGCCTGGGACCCATCAACTGTAGGCAGGGACCCATCAACTGTAGCTAAGGACCAAGCAACTGTAGCTAGAGGCCCCTCAACTGTGGCCAATGACCCATTAACTGTAGCAAAAGGCCAGTCAATTGTAGTCAGGGAACTGTAGCCTGGGACCCATCAACTGTAGTCAGGGACCCATCAACTGTTGTCAGGAACCCATCATCTGTATCAAGGGACCCATCAACTGTAGTTAGGGACCCATCAACTGTAGTAAGGGATCCATCAACTGTAGCTAGGGACCCATCAACTGTTGTAAGGGACCCATCAACTATAGTCAGGGACCCATCAACTGTAGCTAGGGACCCATTTACTGTAGCAAGGGACCCATCAACTGTAGCCAGGGACCCATCAACTGTAGCTATGAACCCATCAACTGTAGCCAGGGACCCATCAAATGTAGTCAGGGATCCATCAACTGTAGCTAGGGACCCATTAAACTGTAGCTAGGGACCCATCAACTGTAGCCAGGGACCCATCAACTGTAGTCAGGGACCCATCAACTGTAGCTAGAAGCCCATGAACTGTAGACAATGACCCATTAACTGTAGCAAAAGGTCAATCAAGTGTAGTCAGGGAACTGTAGCCCTGGATCCATCAACTGTAGTCAGGAACCCATCATCTGTATCTAGGGACCGATCAACTGTAGAAAGGGATCCATCACTGTAGCTAGGGACCCATCAACTGTAGTCAGGGACCCATCAACTGTAGCTAAGGACCAAGCAACTGTAGCTAAGGACCCAGCAACTGTAGCTAGAAGCCCATCAATTGTAGCCAGGGAACTGTAGCCAAGGACCCATCAACTGTAGTCAGGGACCCATCAACTCTATCTAGGGATCCATCAACTGTAGCTAGGGACCCATTAACTTTAGCTAGGGACCCATCAACTGTAGCCAGGGACCAATCAACTGTAGTCAGGGACCCATCAACTGTAGCTAAGGACCAAGCAACTGTAGCTAAGGACCCAGCAACTGTAGCTAGAGGCCCATCAATTGTAGCCAGGGAACTGTAGCCAAGGACCCATCAACTGTAGCCAGGGACCCATCAACTGTATCTAGGGACCCATCAACTGTAGTAAGGGATCCATCAACTGTAGTAAGGGATCCATCAACTGTAGTAAGGGATCCATCAACTGTAATAGGGGATCCATGAACTGTAGCCAAAGACCCATGAACTGTAGCCAGGGACCAATCAACTGTAGCTATATATGAACCCATGAACTGTAGCCAGGGACCCATCAACTGTAGCTATAAATGAACCCATCAACTGTAGCCAGGGACCCATCAACTGTAGCTAGGAACCCATCAACTGTAGCCAGGGACCCATCAACTGTAGCCAGGGATCCATCACCTGTAGCCAGGGACCCATCAGCTGCAGTCAGGGACCCATCGACTGTATCTAGGGACCCATCAACTGTGGTCAGGGACCCTCAACTGTAGATAGGGACCCATTAACTGTAGCTAGGGACCCATCAACTGTAGCCAGTGACCCATCAACTGTGGTAAGGGACCCATCAACTGTAGCTAAGGACCTAGCAACTGTTGTCAGGAACCCATCATCTGTATCTAGGGACCCATCAACTGTAGTAAGGGATACATCAACTGTAGTCAGGGACCCATCAACTTTAGTAGGGGATCCATGAACTGTAGCAAAGGACCCATGGACTGTAGCCAGGGACCCATCAACTGTAGCTATGAACCCATCAGCTGCAGTCAGGGACCCATCGACTGTATCTAGGGACCCATCAACTGCAGTCAGGGATCCATCAACTGTAGTCAGCGACCCATCAACTGTAGCCAAAGACTGGTTAACTGTAGCCAAGGCAAATCAATTGTAGTCAGGGAACTGTAGCCGGGACCCATCAACTGTAGCAAGGGACCCATCAACTAGCTTGTGGGAACAGGAGAAACGGTTTGTTTCTTCGAATTCATTTTACGAGCACATACCACGGAAAAAGGCATGTAATTTGTTTTCATGGGTCCTGGGACACGTGAACGCGTGTTTCTACGAAATAACAACCACCGGTTTCACTCTTTCATACAATAGTCAATAATACACTTCACAAGGTTTGTTCAGTACTGTTCAAATGCCTGTTAATGTCGCCTTCAGAACGCCACCGTGTAACTGCTCCACCAACTAATTACTATAGAACCAAACTGATAAAGATCTTGTCTGTAGAAACAATTCAACTCCGATAAACACAGAATACACCAGTATGACATTATTCTAGATGTTATGATCTCATGGACATACTTTCAATTTACGTTTGGTACAGCTCCCGCTTGAAATAGCCATAATTCATTTTGACACAAAGCCGTATAAAGCTTAGGTATCAATAGCGTCACTAAAAGAATGTCCATCATACAATTACAGCTATGGGAAAACAGCCGGTATGACCACTGAATAATGTTTGGGTAGCCCCTGTCCCGATCAGCATCTGATAAACTAATAGTTTAAATCATTGGTATCATCGTCGTCTACGGTATATGTATAATTACTTAATTCCTTACTACATACACGTAGTTACTGAAAAAGGGAAACCTAGAATGGTTCGAGCACTTTATTCAGGAAAATTAGCGAGCCTTACAAAAACAAACCAAAAACTTGGTGTAAGTATACTTCCTTCACCAATGTAATGTACAAAGAAGCAAACAGTTTGTTCAAGACGTGTCGAAATCGCCATCGAATATACCCTGTTAGAATGGCTGTTTTAACTGTACGATATACCGTCATGTTACATTGATTGATGTGTTTTGTTGGTTTTTATGTACGGCATTATTTGTTTAGGAATTTATTTACATTGATAATTTAATCACATGCTCCACATCTAGTTCACCGAATACTGGAACAGTTTTAATGAAATAAGCTGGCTGTCAATAAGATTATGTCTCCTCCGTTTCATGTACTTTATAGGGGAAACACATTGATCAGTCTCCCTCGGGTACTTGTATCAGCCCACAATCAATCAAAGACACATGTCACGTCGTTCCCTCTGAGTACGTGATCAAGATTCGTGTCGTCATAATAGAGTAAAAGGTGTTTGACATATTATTACATAGGATCGGTTTGGTGACACGTGGAATCTGAGGTGTAAAACAGTTCTTGTCAAATATAATTCATTTATTACATTGTTGATGTTATTGAACACCAAACTAAAGCTTTACATTCAAATACATCGACATCTTATTTACACGATATCTGATACTATAGGTAAGATTTACACGATATCTAAAACTACAGGTATGATTTACACGATATATGATACTACAGGTATGTTTTACACGATATCTAATACTACAGGTATGATTTACACGATATCTGATACTACAGGTATGATTTATACGATATCTGATACTACAGATATGATGTGCGATATATATGATACTACAGGTATGATTTATACGATATCTGATACTACAGGTATGATTTACACGATGTCTGATATTACAGCTATGATTAACATGATATATGATACCACAGGTATGACTCACACGATATCTGTAATTACAGGTATGATTTACAAGAAAAATGATACTACATGTATGATTTACACGATATCTGATACTACAGGTATGATTTACACGATATCTGATACTACAGGTATGATTTATACGATATCAGATACTACAGGTATGATTGACAAGATATCTGATACTATAGGTAAGATTTACACAATATCTGATACTACAGCTATGATTTACACGAAAAAAGATACTACATGTATGATTAACATGATATCTGATACTACAGGTAAGATTTACACGATATCTGATACTACAGGTATGATTTACACGATATCTGATACTACATGTATGATTTATACGATATCTGATACTACTGATATGATGTGCGAGATATATGATACTACAGGTAAGATTTACACGATATCGAAAACTACAGGTATGATTTACACGAAACATGATACTACAGGTATGATTTACACGATATCTGATACTACAGGTATGATTTACACGAAAAATGATACTACATGTATGATTAACATGATACCTGATACTACAGGTATGATTTATACGATATCTGATACTACAGGTATGATTTACAAGAAAAATGATACTACAGGTATGATTTATACGATATCTGATACTACAGATATGATGTGCGAGATATATGATACTACAGGTAAGATTTACACGATATCGAAAACTACATGTATGATTTACACGAAACATGATACTACAGGTATGATTTACACGATATCTGATACTACAGGTATGATTTACACGAAACATGATACTACAGGTATGCTTTACACGAAAAATGATACTACAGGTATGATGTACAAGAAAAATGATACTACAGGGATGATTTACACGATATCTAAAACTACATGTATGATTTAAACGATATCTGATCCTACAGGCATGATTTACACGATATCTGATACTACAGGTATGATTTACACGATATATGATACTACAGGTAAGATTTACACGATATCAGATACTACAGGTATGATTGACACGATATATAAAACTACAGGTATGATTTACACGATACCTGATACTACAGGTATGATTTACACTATATCTGATACTACAGGCATGATTTACACGATATCGAAAACTACAGGTATGATTTATACGATATCTGATACTACATGTATGATTTAAACGATATCTGATACTACATGTATGATTTACACGATATCTGATACCACAGGTATGATTTACACGATATCGAAAACTACAGGTATAATTTATGCGATATCAGATACTACAGGTATGATTGACACGATAGATAAAACTACAGGTATGATTTACACGATCCCTGATACTACAGGTATGATTTACATGATATCTGATACTACATGTATGATTTATACGATATCTGATACTAAAGGTATGATTTATACGATATCTGATACTTCATGTATGATTTAAACTATATCTGATACTACATGTATGATTTAAACGATATCTGATCCTACATGTATGATTTACATGATATCTGATTCCACAGGTATGATTTACACCATACCTGATACTACAGGTATG